CCCCAAAACCCCAAAACCCCAAAACCCCAAAACCCCATTTAACTGCAAATAGTTGAAAAATTAAAATAAATTAAATTTTAGATATCTTTTAAATCATTATACAATATTACTAATGATCAGAAAACCAAGCCCTGAATGGATCGAATACTGCACCACACTTTCAGACATCACAAAGAAGTCTAATAGAGAGATCCTCTGTACTGAATGCTGGATGTATCTGAATTATGAGCAAAAAACAAAGCATAAGAACAAATTTCCTCATCATAAGCAGAAAGTGCTAACTCCAACACAATTTGCAAATGGAGATTTGTTCTATCGTATTGCTCTTACGAATAATAAAGTTATTGAAAAAGAAGGAGGTATCAAGCTTATTATCCTACCAAGTCTGTACGATTCTAATATAAAAGACGGACACACCAATTTGATCGAGGAGGTTTGCAGAGAAGCACACAGTCCTCCTTCTGATACACAAAAAGGTCACGTGACAGAAAACCCTTCACAAGTAAATGAGAAATTTTGCTCATGCAATCAATTCTATACTCGCATCGATGAAATTGATTCTTGCTGTTCTATTCACAGATGCAGAGCCCAAAATCTGAGCGCAAGCCTAGACATAATGATTAGGTAGGAATCTCAATTTTTGAGTTTTGATGCTTTATGTCAATAACTTATGTAATTTATTTATAGTGATATCGACACCAGTTTACGCCAGTTCGAGATCGAAATAGCCAGCCAGTTTTCTTTGACTTCAAACAGTTATGCGCCACTGTGTCTTTCAATGTCTTGTACATCTCAAGAGCAATTTATTGGAGACGTAGGAATGGAACTCAAAGAGAACAGCGAGAATTCAAATCTCCATCATGTTCGTTCAACTGAGTATGATGGGATTCACAGTGGCTCAATGATACAGAATTGCTCTCCAACTATAGGAAGCAAGAAAGCTGTGGTAGTACTACAAGACTCTGATTCATATCCATCCAGCAACATGCAAGGACCTCTGAACACTTTACCTTCCTCTAGGCATCAGACTTCCTCTGAGAAATGCCAGAAGCTACCAAGACTGAACGAAGTTTGCTCTCTTCTGGGAGCCTTTTAATAACATTTTTGATAAAATTATCCAAAATTGTGTGAAAAATTTATACGAAAGATTTTTACTACGTAACAGTGCCTCCTTAATTGTGTTTTTGCTCTATGGTCTCTTAACAAAAGTATTAATGCTATCCTTATCTAAAGGATGTTCCCAGTGTTCAGCCTCGACATGTGATGAATTTTATAACTTCGCTCATGGTCACCTTTTGGATAGTTTCATATATATATTATGTTGAGAAGCTATTTAGACTAACCATGTACAGGAAGACAGAGGGAAAGAATTAATTGACCGCATGAATATGCTGTAGGCACTTCGTTTATTACTGATGAATCTGGGTAAAGATATTAATAATCTGTTGTGTATTTCTATTGGAGAAAATGGAAGCAATCAGCTCCATTTTGTTTTATTCTTAGAAATGAACAGCACAAACTCTCAAATGTTTAGGGGATAAACTCTGCTACTAATGCTTCTAGATTTCTTCTTGGCTCATGCAGATTTAAGAATACTCAAACAATGTTAATCCAAAAATAGTGAGTTTTACTTCTAACTTTGACAATGGATTCATGAACGAGCAGAAATAGTTTATGAGTTGGCAAATCCAAGAAAAATATGTAACAATAGCAGAACACTTGTCTGATACCACCTAATGTTCAGCAACTCTTTCATGTCTGAGAGGGTTCACCTTCATCATAAATGTTGAAGTGATCAGAATTTTAGGAATTTTTCGATAGCATAATTGACAGTTATAAAAACTAACATAAAAATGTATATTATCCAATACCTTCCGATTTTCTAAGAATATATCAGAATAGGCAATCCCTTGGAGAGATTTGTCTATCAGAATGAAGACTAGGCTGATACAATACAAATAACAATCATGGGTCCTAAAGAAATTAGGAGTACCATCAGACGCATATCAATGTAACCATCTGTGCTTAAATCTGAGATTTCTTCAAGTTATGTTCAGGTTGAAGTCAGAATGATTTTCCAAATAAAATTTCCTGACTTCTGTATTACCTAGACTTGGTACTCGACAATAGACTTGAAAGCTCTTCTTACAATTATTAGGGGACTCTTCCTTCTCATAAAGATGGTTTCCACGAGGTTAAGAAAATTACAAGGTCTTGAGACAAGGTTTTGAATTCTTCTTTTACAATTGACACCCTCATAAAAGTTGCATATTAAGAAAGCGAATGATGAACAATGAGATCTTTCTCAAATAATGCCAATGCTGGAAGACCCATTAACTCGCTTTATTTGTCCAATATTTTCCTTACGCAAGTTTGAAGGCAAAAATATAAGTTTACAGTTCAGATTAATAATAAAATTTTAGAGACGTTTTTTGCTAATCACAAAATACTGAGAAATTATCGATTTCAACTCTAGAGAGCAAATAAGACAATCCACGTTCGCTATCCTTTTTGAGTTATAGCTGTTTGAGAGATGAGGGAAAGTTATACAATAGGTCTAGAAGGAGGCTGTCTTTATATGCCTGGCATCTTCAATATGCTCTTGGTGAATCCAGGTACTGAAAAATAAGAGAATAATTAATTCCTGTTCTTACTTGTTCTGGCTATCTTAGCTTTTGCTCATGGGACTCAGAATGAAGACCGGTATAAATTTTGATGAAGGAACTTCAGAAAAGTCTTACAATTCGACTGTATTCACTATAGAAGTGATGGAACTAGCTTATTAATCTCATAGCCCCGCCATGAGATCAGAGCGAGTCTCCAAGTTTTAACAGAAACCCAAAGATTTTTCACACATTTTGACTCTTTGGTGAATTTAGAAGCGTGAGTCACATCAGCATTAAATTAACAATTTTAAAATATTAGAAAACAAGATGCAGGAGCAAACATGGAGGTTTGAGTTGGTATTTGCTCTGACTTATGTTAAACTAATGCTTCTAATTAAGCTATTTTCAGTGTTTTTCTAATATCTACTCAGAATTCTTCTCTAAATGAGAGGCCATCCACAATTTTTAAACAAGAGTGAGATAATGATTTTTCTAAAAATACCCTGATTGTCAGTACGCTTGAAAAACAGCTTCTAGAATAATAAAAGCCTTTCAAATGATAACTAATCATTGAAGCTTGTTAGACTTAAGAACTCTTTCATTCAAAGCTTAAAGTAATCTTCTTATCAAAGTTGAAACATCCAAGCTTTGAAAGCTGTTTCATTCTTAACATTTTTGGAAGACCAGAGGCTTTCTAAGAACTTAAAGCCTTATAAATATGACTAAGTTAGCATACGGTGATTGTTGTAGCTAAGCCTTCAAGTAATATCTGATAGCATTTTGAGAACTGAAACCCATCTTTATTGGTGAATTGATTTTAGCTATTTCCACAAGAAAATAATAAGTAAAATTTTTTATAAATTCTCTCTAAGTATTCTTAAGAGTTACCAAGAGCCTATCGGTTATCTTTTAGACATATCTGTATCAAACTTTCTCCGAAAATCATGATTGTTGGTTTAGATATGAGCAAAATTCTTCAATTCTGATTTCAATGTAGCTATTACTTGAAGGGGTTTTGGGGTTTTGGGGTTTTGGGGTTTTGGGG